AAGTGTGGTTGGACCAGCTGAGGGCCGTGGGCGTTTTCCTGTTCTCCATTCTGCCCCTCCTTTCCCAAATCCATCTTCCTCTCATTTTGCCCCAGGCGCCCCCTACCCACGGCCTTAACCCTCCTCTTGTCCCCCAGCCCTCTTCCTCTCCCACTTCCCGAACCCCTAAAGATTCCAGGAAGCGAGTGTGCAATAAGCTGGGCTCCTTTTATTTCCGTAGTGCTGAGCCTGGCTGGGCCTGGCACCCCCTGCCCGCCGGCCTGCCCGCCTTATTAATTGTGGCGCTGCTTCGCCACCCTGCGAACCCCCTTGAGAAGCCGCTTGTGGCCCTGTTTAGAGCCCCGCAGTGATCGACGCTGTCTACACTGGTGCTGTCTAGGCAGGCGGCGCTGTCTGGGCCGTCGCTGCCCAGGCTTGGGCTGCCCACTTCTCCGCCGTGGCTGCCGTGGTCTCTTGGCCTTGAGCTTGGGTTTGGAGGCCTGCTTCTTGCCCAGGCAGAAGGAGCCCAGGGCCCCCTTGCCGGTCACCTGCCGGAGCACGCCTTGGTCCACCAGCTTCTGAAGCGAACGCTTGAAGCGCCAGGCGTTGCGGATCATGTCATAGCCCACGGCGGCCACAGCCTTCTTCAGGGTGGCCAGGGACACCAGGTGGTGCGTCCCCTTGCCTGTCATGACTCTCAGGATCACCTTGGTTATGCTGGGCTTCGGGGGCGGTTTGGGGCAGGTGCTGCGTCCAGTCTCATTACTGATGGCGATGCCCGAGGTGCTGGCCTGCCGGCCTCTGCCCAAGGCAGTGCTGGCAGCCATGGGCTCTGGTGGTGTTGGCACTGCAGAAACACTCTGCATTTCTTCCTGGAGGGTGAGGCAAGGGCAGCTGGGCGTGAGGACCTCCAGGGTGGCGGCTGGGTGGCTCTCAGTGGTAAGTGAGCTGCGTCCTGCTCCTTCTCTTAGTGGCTTCCTGGAGGGAGGTCAGGGGATGATCACCCAAGGCTGGCCACAGCGCACTTGGGCCTTGGGCTCAGGGGGCGGGGAAGTTATCTCAGGGGGTCACTGTGAGGTCACCAGAATCCTGCTTGGGTCACAGTGGCCCCATTGTCCTTTCCAGGAGAGGCAGACAGGAGGAGCCAGGGATGTGACTCTGCGGGCAGGTGTGTTTGCCAAGGCCGATTTCAGGGTCTGAGCTAGTCCTGGAGATTGAGTCTTTGCTGGTACTGGGGATTGAACTCAGGGCCTTCATACTGAGCTACATCTCTGGCCCCTTCTTATTTTTTATTTTTTTAATCTTGAGATTCAGTAAGTCATCACATTGCCCAGAATAGGCTTGAACTTGTGATCCTCCTGCCTCAGCCTCCCAGAGTGCTCAGGGAATCACCATGCCTGGCTCCTTCAGAAAATTTGTATAGAAAGCAGTTAAAAGCTACAGCTTTTATTTGTTCTTGTTCATTTTTATTTTACAGATCACTGATTCTCCACATTAATTCCATAGAGGACTTTATTCCTTGGGTCTGCAGGGCTGCCTGTGCCAGGCTTGACCTATTGCTGTTTTCTCCTCACTTCCGGCTTTCTAGGTCGATTCTGTGGCTCCCATGTTGGTCAGGAAAATCTGCTTCCTACGTCACTTTGGAAACAGGAGCCAGTTTTGCCATGCGTCATATTAGCCTTTGTTGGTTTAGGTTTTATGTTGATCTATCTCAACAAAATTCAGATTTCTTGCCATGTTCAATGTTGGCCGCTTTTCAAGGTGTCTTTCTCTAGCCTGTCTGGTCACAGAGTTGACCTGGCCCTGATGGCACTGTCCTGAGGGTCTGTGCCCCTGACGCAGAGTGTGCAGGGCTGGTGTCCGTGCTGGGGTGGGTGCCAGGGAGGCCTGGGATATCCCCAAAGTATTTCCTCACCTATGCGGCCAGAGCCTAGACTCTGAGACTGGCTGCGGACTTGGGGCTGAGGCCCGGGTGGGTCCTGACCCAGGCCCGCCCTCCCAGCACAGCACCTGCTGAGTTGCCCGCACCTTCCAGTCCACCCATCCTCCCCTTGCTGGGGGATGGAGAATTGCTTTGGGCAATGGCATTTGTCAGTTGCAGGCTCCAGAGCTCAGCTCCACCTTTCCCCCACCTTACCTGGAGACTCCCACCTTCCTCTCTCTGAATGAACATGGGCGAGTGGGTCGCTGCTAAGAAAACCGATTCTTACTGTTCTAATGAGAAGTCCCTGCTCTGTCTGAACTGGCCATCAGGTAACTGTCATCAGGCTGGGTGGGTTCGTAGCAGAGAGGCTTGCAAAACACCTTCCGCAGCTGCTTGTTCTAGTAAAATATGGTCGACGATACCATAGCAACCCGAAGCTTCCCAAAACAATAGCTGCCACTGCTGCCAGGAGGACCAAGAGTGTCCAAGAGCTTCTCCTAGGTTTATCTCGTTTCCTTACAACTGCATTACAGACTAGGAAATCGAGGCACAGAGAGGTTAAGTCATGTGCCCAACATGGCAGAGCAGTAAGCAATGGACCCAGATTCAGACACCAAGTGGGTCTTCCGTGTTTGCTACTTCTCCAGATGAGCTAAGCTCACCCCTGCACAGGAAGTCGTTGGGGAAGAGAAGGGGGCCTGGGCCGGGCTTCCAGAGGACCTGGAGCTGGGTCTCAGGAAGGACTCGCCGCTGAGTACGGCGCTCAGTGCTGCTGGGATTTCCAGCTTATTCGGAGTGAGGCCTTGGGAACCAGGTGTGAAACAGAGGCAGCGGGAAAGAGTTCTTGCTGGAAACTGGTCAGCGATGGAGCAGGCGGGGGCAGAGCTGGGGGCTCTGGTGCAAAGGGAGCAGAGGACAGGTCCTATGGTGGTTGGAATGCTTTGGTTTTTTTTTTTCATTTTGTTTGTTTGTCTATTTTGAGACAAGGTCTCTTTACACAGTCCAGGGTGGCCTCAAACCCATGGCAATTCTCCTGCCTCAGCCTCCCAAGTGTTGAGATGATAGGTGTGCGCCATCATGCCTGGCTGGAACTTGTGTTGAAGGAGGGTGTGCAACTTAATGGGACTCTGTCTCAGAGTAGAATATACGTCCACGGTGGAATCTATCAGCGCCTTAGTGTCTAATGAGCAGTTGCCCTGTCCTGGCTACTCTGCTAAACACCAAGCCACATTTTTTCATCTAGTCGTCCTGACAGTCTAGGAAGTAGGGAGAGCTGAGGCACAGCATGGCCAAACAAGTGGCCGGGAACGTAGAGCCTTAAAGCCAGGCTGCCTGCACCCAAAGCCGGCTCCTCCGTGGTGAGGCACGGCAGGCACCCTGGAACTTCCGGTTGGCTCCCTGTTCCCACTGCCCGCGTTGGAGCCCCGCCCGCTCCGGCCAGGGTGGACCTGAGGCTGACTCCCACCCCATCCCCAGCCTCCAGATGGTCCACCACAGCACCATCCACGGGAACACGGAGGAGCTGCGGCAGATGGCGGCCACCCGTGAGGTGCCCCGGCCTCTCTCCACCCTGCCCATGTTCAACGTGCGCACAGGCGAGCGGCTGCCACCCCGCGTGGACAGCGCCCAGGTGCCCCTCATCCTGGACCAGCACTGAGGGCCTGGCCAGGTGGGTCCTGCTGGGCAGTGCCAGTGCGGTTTCTGGAAGCAAGGCTGGGGCAGTGGTGGGTCAGGAGAGGTCATGGGAGGGGGCCCACTGGCCTGCCTGTGCCTGCGGGGAGCTCAGGTGCAGAGTGTGGCTCCCAGGCTGCCCCTCTGCCCCACACTCTTCCGGTTCCAGCCCTGACCTCATCCCCTTCTCTGCACGCAGACCCTTGGCCACGGCTGATGCCAGTTGGACCCCATGCTCCGAGGAAGCAGAGGATGGGAGGTGTTTGGAGTCCGGACTCCCAGAATAAATACCTGCTGCTTGCTTGTCTATTGCCGCAAGTGCCTTCCTCTCTGCAGCTTCCTGAGGTCCTCACTGCCAGCCTTCTGGGGTCCCCTGGGGCTGCCAGCCAGGCCTCTGGACGCTTGGTATTTGCTGTCTTCTCAAATCCCCAGAAGAGGGAAGGCTCTGCTGTGTGCAGCCCGCACACAAACTAGACTACGACAGATGAGCGGATCATTGTCCCCATTTTATAGGTAGGGAGAGCAAGGCCCAGGGAGAGTAAGAGGCGGAGTCAGGGTCACAGAGCAAGCTGGGGTCAGAGCTTGGATTAGAACCTGGTCCGTCCGCCCACACCCTGCCTTCTGGAGGGTTTGCGAAGCAGTAGGTCCAAGCCCCTACGTGGAGCTTTAGCTGGGTGCTTGCTGTGCTGAGTGTCACAGAGCGTGGCTTCCCCACAGCCCCGGAGAGCTCGGCCAGCCATGCAGAGGCCCGAGGCTGCCTCCGAAGTGGCTGCTCGGCCCTCCCACTGCCATCCTCACTGTCTCCGGGGCAACGTTGATGGCTTCCTCCCCAGGACAGCCAGGGAGGAGACTGGGTAGAGCGACAGCAGAGGAGCAGCACGCAAGCCAGCCCTTCTCCGGGAGGCAGCAAGAGGATCCAAACACGGCCGGCACCCCCACCGGCCCCTCCCTCCTCGGCGGTTGGGAGCCCCCCCAGTCCACACAACCCCCACGCTGGGGCTCCTCCCCAGCACCCCAGCTCTGTGGGAGAAGCTGCTGGGGACTCACTGTTCCCACCCGCTCTCCACGCTAGAACTCAGGATTTGCTCACTGGCTTTCTGAGGGGGCCGCGCCTGTGCACTCGAGGGGCTGGGGGAGCTGCAGGAAGGGGGACACTGCAGCCTGGGTTTGTACTCAGTTCTTTGTTTTGTTTTTCATTTTCCATTTTATTGTTTACGGTTTAGATTTACATAATGATTACATTCATCATAGGGAATTTGTTCCTTTACGCAATGTATCTCTTTTTTTTTTTTTTTTTTTTTT